GTAGTCAGGATGTCAGATCCTAAGGACAGCAAAAGGATTAGATGCCGTAGTGGCTATGGAGGGGTAACAACAGAGGAAGGCAGCAGAAGATGGGACCCCAGAAGTTGGGTTGATGCTTGGAAACATGAGAATGAAGAAACACGGGTTAGTCTCCCTTGGAGCGGAAGATGAGTAACTGCCATAGCATAATGGAGACCTTCTGCCTCTTATGAGGCAACGGATTTCACGTTCATTTAAAGAAGAGACCCTGGCTACGGCGGGAGTAACGAAGGGAGGCTTCATTACAATTACGGCAAGATGAGTTTGACATGCAAGATTATAGAATGACGTACGGCACCACAGACCTGTGGCATTCGGCCAAGATCTCTGCAATAATTCCGCTGGGTGACCAAAAACCCCCAATTTCTACATTGTTGCGGTGTAGGTACACCTTCGAACTTGTAAACCGATGTCCCGCGACATATACTCGAGGACGGAGTTCTCGGCTGTCAAACTTCAAAGAGCCACATGCAAGGGAACCTACGCCCCTGGGCAGGAAGGCATGAAGTGTACTACTTTGAGGATAGGAGATCCTGGAGTTCCAGCTGTTCAAAAATGTCATTGCCACATGAACTGGGAAATTCTGTTGGACTATGGTATGGGGCGATAATGACAGTACCATACAAGAATTGAGAGAAAGATGTTTTTCAATCGTGATAGGAGTATTTCAGATATTCGAAATGAGAGAAAGATCATGAGCTTGGGTAGCATTCTGACAGTGACGATGCCATCACCACTCCATGAGAGCATGAAATGAAATATCTCTACCAACAAGACGCAGGCAAGCGCTGCTTTTGCCAATACAATGACAGAAAGGTAGGCAGAAGAAGTCGGATCTTAAACATGTAAATAAATTAGTCCATTGTGTGTGTCGAACATTGAGCGTGGAGAGGGAGTCATGACGTGTCGGTCCTTTTCCGAGTAGAATGGGAAGGTTAACGAAGGAGCATCATCAGGAGTTTTGACGTTGCGTTTAGAAGTAGTACCGGGAGTTGGACTGGCGATAAAAGGGCGGGCGATTCGAAAAATTGCCATACCGTATAGGGAGAAGCTGGAAGCCGATAGTCAAAGGAGAGCGGAGATTCAGACCAAATCGAAGGCGTCAGTCTAAGCCCCCGGTACCCCATGAAGGCGGGTGAGGAAACAGCACCAGCAAGAGGTACAGGGGCATCAGAGTTACCGAAGAGAGGGTCTAAAACACCAGGCAGGGTACAGATGGGAGGTGCGGTATCAAGAAGGGCCCGGGGTAGTGGGTTCATGGACTATAAGGGCTGCCATGGTTTAGGTTACTACCTTTGCATTTTTTTTAAGAAAAAAAAAGAAAGAAAAGAAAATAAAAATAAAAAAAAAGAAAAAAAGGGGGGAGAGGGAGGAACGAAAGGCCGGAAATCTCCCTCCGCGCCCAAAGGACCTCAGCAACCGCTCGTAGCGCAGATGCAGCATGGAACCCGTGCCATAAACCCTACCCTTCATGCCAGTAAACCAGCAAACCGGGATAGCAACCTCAACATCTGCCGAGCTACGCTCGGTGGACAAAGAGATGGCGGCCGGAAAATCCTCCACAAAGCAAACCCCTCCTTTCGGCCACCACCCCCGGAATCCTAAAGGTGCTTCCAGAGATACACCCGTCGCCCAATAAACAACCCAAAGCTACACCGGGATACCGAGGAGAGGGATCGGGACATCCTCCGAAGGCAATCCCAGATTCCAACGGCAAAACTACGCCACCCTGCCAAGAACCTCAATACGGAATGGGATGGACCCCCGGATGTCCTTTCCCCTACCTAGGAACTAGCTCGCCTGTGGGAGAAATCCCAAAGGCAAAAAGAGGAAGGGCAAAAGGGAGGGGTGGGGAGAGGAGGAATGGAAAAGGGAGGATGGGGATAAGGGTAGTGGGGAATGGGGGGTAATTAGGTTTCGGATACCTGAGGAAGAAGACCGACAGGGCTAATTCCTCAGCCCAAGAGTCACTTCACCTCGCCAAGGAACCCCCCTTGAAGAGACTCAGGTAAAGCCCTCTCATGGGGTAAACTTGCCATCTGTCTTTTAATGCCACTAGGACCAGCTTGAGATCACTGGACCTCTGTTTCACATAATAACTGTCCACAGTCCCGTCAGTTTCTGCACTTCTTTAACATTATTCCCTAAAATGGTACAAGATTCTGTCACTGAACTTGTTGCAAGATGGCATGTTTCAGCTGCTCATGGTGGTATCTTCTGCACACAAACATTTGACAACATTCCCCTTTGGCACAATTCTTCTTCCTTAATCAGATGAAGAAGACAACCTCATCCACCTCCCTATATTAACACCTTTCACAACATCAGCTTCCTTGATTTGTTCTTTCTCAGACAGTATAGAACCGATGGTCGACTTGTTGTTTCCCATACATCCTGGCAAGCTCAACAAGTCTCACACCACCTCATACTTCTGTATTTCCTTCACATCAATGTTTTTTCTCACTTTTCTGTTTCTTTAACCACAGGGGTACCACAGCAAGTTTCTTTGGGCCCCTTGGCAGCTTATTTCAGTCCCAACAAGCACTATAACACAACGAAATAATCGTAAAATACATGAATGAGAGCACAGGTTAGTGTTCACTCAAGCATAAACAAAGCTAGACTGCTCACAGCGCCTGCGCCAGGGACATGGGAAACAGAGCGGCGGCAAGACAGGTCCCAGTACCCGGCGGTTCCGAAAATAGGGGCGCGTTCATAATAGGACGCGAGTTTGTCCGAAAAAAATGGTCCTACTTTCGAAACGTTTGATATGTGATACATTCAATTTTTGAGGTTCCACTGTATACATGTCAAAAACGGTGGCTCATAAGACGTATATATACGACCAAAACAGTCAAAGGGTTAAAGTAGCCCAGAGCGATAAAATAACACATACACTCAATACTTACCTTAAAATGAGAAGTCTTAATGTAGGGTGAGAGTAGTAGTATCTATTTGTAGGAAGTCAGGTGTAGGTAGCCAGGAAACCCAGTGGCTTCCACTCCTAACCAAATGTGCGATATTTAGAAGTAAGCCGAACGACGTACCTTGTTCATTTAATCATTTCTCTAGTCAACTACCTTTAATGCCATCATAAATCAAAGGGAGAATTCAGAGAAGTCATGCTGAGAATTGTAAACAAAGGTTAAATGTATCTCAGGGAATGACAGGTCAAAAAGCAATTGATACACATTTTCTCTGGTGCTTGACAGAATAAAGCTGTATAGCCCATGTGGCATAGCACTTCTTATATGGTTTATAAAAATAATTGACCAATAAAAGCACAATTCTTTTCCTTCCACCTGGCTACATTTGTATACATGCTATGTATTATTATATATATTATAATCAAGGGGGAAGGCTAAACCTGGAGGATTATACAGCGCCAGTGGGGGGGATGTGGAAGGCATTCCAGGCTTAATTCGGGAACTGGAGCACAGATCCAATTCCCCTAAATCAAGAGCCCTCACCATACATCAAAGGAACCTTCCATTGAGGGGAATACAACTATGTAACGAGTTTACTTATATAAATTTGAAGAAAATATCAGATTGACTAACGAAATGACTATATTTAACGTAAAATAATAAGATTTTAAATGTGTATCAAGACTAGTGAGAGAATAATTATAAATGTATAACATGCATGCCAGTACAGTAAGTTTTAAAAGTTTATTTCGGTACAGGTACACATAATTATCAAAGTACATATAAAATGCACAATAAACTTTTAAAAACACCTGAGATTCTGGAAAATTTCCAGACGTTAATGGAGAGATGTGCACAGAGAGAATGTAAACAAACCGGGTAGTTGCACAGTGACCTATGAGTCAGGTGTGGGGGGAGCTGTATACCTCTTTTGGTTGTAATCTGAAAATGTCTGTATTAGCATATAGCGGGGTCCTACTGTACATGGAAAAGAGTATCATCAGCTCTAATTACTTTGTGCAAGTCATGCACCAGCACTGATACCCTGCCTCTAAGGGCATTGAAAGGAGGTTGCTCCGTGGGGGCATCACATGGCCAGTTCTTCAGCAATATGTACGATAGGGAATGTTCATGGAGTAGGATTATTCTGTGATGTCTTTAAAGACTTGGTGACTAAAACCTTGGTGATGTACTTATCCTGCAAATTGTATTTACAGGATATCTTGCTATGATTTGTTATTAAGTTTGAAAACAACTTATAAACCCATGTGGATGATAAATCTTGCTGTGCTCCAGCTAATAGCTATCTTGCTATTTTCCATCATGGCTACCCCTCAAGGAAGGCTCCTTGACGCTGGTGAGGGGCTCTTGATCTAGGGAATTGGATCTGTGCTCCAGTTCCCTGAATTAAGCCTGAATGCCTTCCATCCCCCCATAGGCGCTGTATAATCCTACGGGTTTAGTGCTTCCCCCTTGATTATAATAATAATAATCCATCATGGCTATATTCAAACCAGTGGATAAGAAATGTAATGTGGGTGCTGTCATATTATAAAATGGTTTTCCAACCACTGCTTTAGATTGAATAAGTACAGTATTAAACATAAGGGTACTGGATATAATTTCCTATTTTAAAAATGCAAGCCCCTCATGGAAGGTTCCTTGATGTTGGTGAGGGGCTCTTGATTTAGGGAATTGGAACTGTGCTCCAGTTCCCCGAATTAAGCCTGAATGCCTTCCACATCCCCCCCCCCCCCGGCGCTGTATAATCCTACGGGTTTAGTGCTTCCCCTTTGATTATAATAATAAAAATGCAACATGAATTTAAAAAATATGTAAAGCATCTTTAAGAAAAATATTAATATTGTTGTATTACAAAGGAAAAAAAAAAAAAAAAAAAAAGAATAGCTTATTCAACATGAGATACTTAAGATAAAAGCTCAATTGATGTCTTCAGCTATTAAGACACTGAACACATTTTATATCCAATGACTAAAGGCAACAATCATCAAATGACTGATAATAAACAATTCGTTAGAAAAATAATCATGCTTCAGTATTAATATCAATAGCTATTTATATGAAAAATACATGAACCTTATTACTCACTCATGCACTTACTGCCTAAACACAAATAATCTATACTGTAAATAAACTGTCTATAATATGACAGGTGTACAAGAGACCCGTCTCAATAATTGCATAAGATCTTTTGAAAAACAGATACCATATATTTTTTGATAAATTGATATACAAGCAAGGTAATGTTTAATAACTGGTGTATTTTTCTGAACACATTCCTGACCAATACCATCTCATTATTTAAGATATCGTAAATAAAACAAGAACAATTAAAAGTTGTTTCATTATCAGATTCCATATAGAATTACTATTCCTGATTTCTGCCTTAGTATCGACAATAAAAATCATGCAGTTTATCCTCTGGAACTTGAATTTAACAACTGGAAACTTTCTTGATCAAGAGGAACAAAAGTCACTATCATGGCTGGAACAATTAACAAATAATCCATAATTTGGAGAAGAAACTTGGACCTTTTCAGTCCATTCAAGACCATTCTAAAGTCAGTGACTTGACAATAACCCATGAAATTAAATTTTGATTAAAGTTCTCTCTCCAAATTGTGGGTTACTGTATTTGTAAATGCATTGATCAAGTACTGGACTTGATACAGATTGTTTTATCAATAGATTTTTTCAGTGTAAAGAAAAGATGGGAAGGAGCTACTAATGAGCAGAGATGTCTAAGAGTAAAGATAATCAGGTCACAGAGTGCTAACTTGCACATGGTTGGCAATAGTACAATATATTCACAATAATTGCTGATCACAGAATCATTGATTACACACAGGGACTTTAAGAGTGCATGCACATATGTACAACGGTAGAGCACAGATACACAAATGATATGCTACTGCAAAACACAAGTCTCGGTACATCATCACTGACAAACCACATCTGGTGGAGATTACTACTCCTCATTTTTCCTTAGAAACCATTGGAAAAGTTCAAAGCTATGACACACTTGGCAATATTTAATGTATTTTGTCTCATCCTGGATCAAGCTCTACAGCCATTGCATACATCCATATCAAGAGTACCTGCTAGTTTATACAAACTATACATTTGGTATACATCATTCTTTCCAACAGTTTCTCCAAACTGAAAGAAAATTTATTAATGTTACAATTTTGTCTTGCATGGCAATCACAATGGTTTATAAAATATGTAACATTCAATTTCATTTTAAAGTGAAATAAAAATTATATTTTCTGCTAGAATAACATGACTTTCTTATATACTGTATATACAAATTCACAGATTCTGGAGCCCTGAAATTATATTTGGTGCTCACATACTATATGGGATTGTCATGTGCACCTCTGAGGGTTAAGAATTCAAATCAATCTACATGTACCATTTCGAATTTTTAACCCCATACTTTACATAACAATCCAGTTAGTGAAAAGTATTAAAATTATTCGTTTAAAATTTTGAAACCTTCCATGTAGAATTAATATTCATTATTCCTTAATTGGGTCATATTGGTGGCAGCACCATGGAGAAACATGGGGGCAGGGGGCATAGCTCCAAAAATATACTGATTAAAGTCTTTAAACAGAATGCAGTGTTCTAGTATTCTATATATCAGATTCAACTGTATGCACAAGCTCTGGTAAAAACTGGTTTTAAAGCATGACTACTGTATCATTCATGATTACTACTACTACATGCCACATTCAGGTTACTATATGCCCCCTGCCTTCCCTGATTTGGCACTTCCACTGAGTTATAAACCATATTTTGGTTTTATTCCCTGCTAACAAAATATTCAAATATATAAGCTATCAAAGTCAAGATTTCCTTTTATATACTGTATGACACTGTATTAGTAATGATTATTGAAACAAATAGGTATAACATTTGTTGCAATTCAAATAAAATGCTCGTCTATAATCCAAAAATACCTGAAGTAACTAGTACAAAATGTTTGAGTTAGAAACACCATGAACTCTAAATGGAACACATCATAGAAATGTTTGTTCCCTTTTATAATGAAATTTGAACTAATAAAAATATAAAAAAATAGTTTAATATGTTTTTTTCCAAGCTCAAGTCCTTCATTTTCTACCTTTCACCAATCTACTAACTAGTCCATCTTTTGCCCCTGTTGAGTGTGCACTATTTGGTGGTTCCTCTTCATCAGTTGCTGGGTGTGTGCTATTCCGAGTAGCTTCCAGAGGCATCGTTGAACGCTGATCCTCTAAACGGCCTGACTGGAATCTCATTATAAGGGAGAAGAAATCATCATCAGGAACAGTGGGAGCCGAGTGAGTGAGGGAACCATCATTTGGAAGAGAACTACGCTGGTCTTCTATACGAGAGCCCTGCAAGAAGATTATAATAAACTTGTTTATATGTCCATTGTTATGCAAAGAGTATGTTGAAAGAACCATTCTAATGGTTGACATGATTTACTAACATCAATAGAGGTAAGTCATTTAACATGTTTATAGCACTGTTTTCCCTAAGTTCTAAAATTTTGCTCATAAATCAAACAAGCGTGGATGAGCGTATTTGATAGGAGTGAATGGAGACAAATGTTTTTTATTACTTTATGTGCTGTTTGAGTGTGAGCAAAGTAACATTTATGAAAGGATTCAGGGAAACTGGCAGGCCGGACTTGAGTCCTGGAAATGGGAAGTACAGTGTCTACACTCTGAAGGAAGGGTGTTAATGTTGCAGTTTTATAACTGTAGTGTAAAGCATCCCTCTGGCAAGACAGTGATGGAGTGAATGATGAAAGTTTTCCCTTTCAGGCCACCCTGCCTTCGTGGGAATCGGCCGATGTGTTAATAAAAAAAAATAAATCAAACATGCTTAAGAAATAATTACTAATTTTTTCTAATCCAAAACATTTCATATTCAATGAAAAATTTTTTTTATGGAATTTTTAATAAAGGAAAAACTTATTCTGTGTTATGGAAACTTCACATTTACTGAAATTTCTTCTCATTATTAAATACACGATATCAGTGTAAGATAAATTTTCATCTGTGTAGTTCACTTTTTAACATCAGTAAAATGCCAAAACAGTTTCCATTCCATTAGAAAATGCAGTTAGCTGTACAATACACAGAATGGGTATTGAGGAAAATAGGGATACTACTAGTGGATAGACTTGGCAAGAAAATATATCGAGCCCTACCTCATCGCACGTTCAACTGTCTGTATACAGTTATGAGTTCTTTTCTTTCCCAAACATGCTTACAATAGTAATAGGACAAAGAACAGAATAAAGGATTTATAAATTGATGAAACACTGGGAGGACAAATGCACCAGGGGGGAAATATGGTGGAGGGTCCTTCCACATTTAACTACTATGGTTATTAATCCATAAACAAAACAGATCCTTTAAAAGGCACACAGGTTTGACAAATCTAACAAAGGTTGAAACATCAAATTTTATCTTACAACAGCCAGTTGTTGTCCAAACATAGATCAACATTTTATTTTTCCTGCCTCTAAATTTGGCCTGAGATGCCTGGTCAGTATAGAATGGATCTTAACACTCGGTGTGTGCAGCATTAAAAAAAGTCTGGGACCACCAGTTCAATTGAGCACCAGCTAGAGCAAACACCAGGGATTCATTGATGTCATATCATCTTAACACTTCCCTTTTAAGCAGAAAGTGATGCTGACCCTGAGTTTAGTGGCTTTGAAATGGATGTGGCCACAAATGGTCAAGGAAATATCAAAAACCTCAATAACCCATGTGCAACATCCTTTCAATTCTGATACCACTGGTAGTGTCATCCTGTCAATGTCCTATAAACTATGCCTTAAGTAAAGAGAAACAATTCTGAAACGTATAATATGTGTTCAGCAGGCTGGGTGGCTGATTGACTTTGGCTGCCTCTATCTCTGTTTCTGCCTCTGTCTGTCTTACAGGTACACATAAATACAATTATACATAGTGTAAATTACCTAAGATAACCCCATAAAATCCAGACAGTGCTATACTGTGCTTGCAGATACAAGGCATGACTGGCAAGTAATACGCATTTTCACTCATTCAGGAATCAGAAGTGATTGCATCATATGTAATACCTGTTGGTTAATGAGCGGCTCTCTGAGACAAAGACGAGCAGACAGATAAGCAGAGACAGCTAGACAGACATGTTTATATGTAACAGTGAAAACAAATAAAGCCAAGGCAGTTCATGATGATCAAGTGTCACTCCACTGCCAGCAGTGGAGTGACACTTGTCTTACACTGTGCTTCAAAGAGTTTCATATATATTCCAGCATGCCTAAAACATTGCTGAGACCTATAAATACTTTATATATATTTCTAGACAACAGTATGTGACCAAGGCAGGTGAAAATGTTCACTTGTCAGTGTGTTTGTGACTATTTGAGTACTATTTTAGTATCTAATATTAGTGTCAGAACAAACATTGACTATGAAATCACAAGAACTCCTATAAATTGTAATTATCAGATAATTTTTTCAACAAGTCTGCCACCTCCCACCGAGGCAGGGTGACCCAAAAAGAAAAAACTTTAATCATTCAACACTTTCACCATAACTCATATATAATTGCTGTCTTTGCAGAGGCACTCAGATATGACCAAACCATCTTAACAGCCCCTCTTCAGCTCTGTGACTAATACTTTTAGTAACTCTATACCTCCCCCTAATTTCCACACTAAGAATTCTCTGCATAATATTTACACCAAACATTGCCCTTAGACATGACATCTCCACTGCCTCCAGCTGCTGCCTCACTGCAGCATTTACAAACCATGCTTCACACCCATATAAGTGTGTTGGTACCACTATTACTCTCATACATTCCCTTCTTTTCCTCCACAAATACCTTAATACACCACCTTTTTTCCTTCATCAATTCTATAGTTTACCTCATCCTTCATAAACCCAACCACTGACACGTCAACTCCTAAATGTCTGAAAACATTCACTTCTTCCATACTCCCTCCCTCCAATGTAATATCCAATTTTTCTTTATCTAAATCACTTGATACCCTCATCACCTTACTCTTATCTATATTCACTTTCAACTTTCTACCTTTACAAACTCCCAAACTTGTCCACTAACCTTTGCAACTTTTCTTTAGAATCCCCCCAAAAGCACAATATCATCAGCAAAAATTAACTGTCAACTCCCATTTTGTATTTGATTCTTCATAATCCCACCCCTCTCCCCAACACCCTAGCATTTACTTCTTTTACAACCCCATCTATAAATGTTAAACAACCATGGTGAAATTACACATACCTGTCTAAGACCTACTTTTACTGGGAAGTAATCTCCCTCTCTCCTACACACCCTAACTTGAGCCTCACTATCCTCATAAAAACTCTTTACAGCATTTAGTAACTTACTACTTATTCCATACACTTGCAACATCTGCCACATTGCTCCTCTATCCACTCTATCATATGCCTTTTCTAAATCCATAAATGCAATGAAAACTTCTCTACCTTTATCTAAATACTGTTCACATATATGCTTCAATGTAAACACCTGATCTACACATCCCCTACCCATTCTCAAGCCTCCTTGCTTATCTGCAATCCTGCTCTCTGTCTTACCTCTAATTCTTTCAATAATAACCCTACCATACACTTTACCTGGTATACTCATTAGACTTATTCCCCTATAATTTTTACTATCTCTTTTGTCCCCCTTACCTTTATATAAAGGAATTATACACACACACTGCCATTCCCTAGGTACCTTCCCCTCTTTCATACATCTATTAACCTGTTAACTATCCGAACGTAGATCTACGTTCTCTCGCCCAGTGCTCCGAATATTTTGGAAAAAAAAAAAAAATTATAGAAATAAAGTGCGCATTTTTCTACGTGTCATCGAGATGAGCCTGTGAAGTTGGCCTTTGATGCTCATCTGATGGCAACATGGAGTCCTGCTGCTTGCATAAGTGTTGCTGATATACTTTTTTTTCTCATTTTCATATTTTACATAATTTTTATGTTCTGATAATTACTTTTTATAGTAGTTCTTGTGATTCGATAGCCAATCTTTCTGACACTAATATTAGGTACTGAAATAGTCACAAACACAGTGACAGGTGAACATTTTCACCTACCTTAGTCACATACTATTGTCTAAAAATATATACATAGTATTTATAGGTCCCAGCAATGTTTTGGATACAGGAGTATATAATAATAATAATAAGTTCCCTTGAAGCATCATGTACAAGTGTCACTCATCTTATCTTATCACTCCACTGCTGATGATGGTGACATCTGATAAGCGTCCTCTTATCTCATCACCCTGCTAATGACTGGTGACATTTGATGAGCCTTCCCTTTATTTGTTTGCACTGTTTCACATAAACATGTCTGTCTGTCTAGCTCTATGTATCTGTCTGCTTGCCTCTCTTGTCTCAGAGTTGCTCATGAACCAACTGGTATAACAAACGATCACTATCTACAAGCACAGTATAGCAATTCGTCTTGATTTTTTGGGTTATCCTAGGTAATTTACACTATGTACAATTGTATATACATATGTGTTCCTGTGAGATACAGAGACAGAGAGAGAGACAGACGGCCAGTCATCCACCGGCCATCCAGGTGGCCAGACTGCTGAAATTACAGTTCCAGAATTGTTTATTTTTATTTAGGGCATAGGTTATAGGACATTCTGGCAGGATTTCACTTTCCTCTTGAAAAGGGAGTGTTAATACGACATGACATCAGAAAATCCTTGGTGTTTGCTCTAGCTGGCGCTCAATTGAACTGGTGCTCCCATAGGGTACTAAGTGGTCCTAGACATTTTTAATAGTGCGCACACCAAGGGTTAAGACACATTCTATGCTGACCAGCCATCTTCGGCCAATCGTGCCAAATTTGGAGGCAGGAAAAATAAAACGTAGATCTACGTTTGGACAGTTAACAGGTTACATAAAAATATCAACCACTCCAACACTATCTCTCCCTCTCCTTTCAACATTTCTGTCATGATCCCATCAGTTCTAACTGCTTTACCCCCTTTCATTCTAAGTAATGTCTCGAGCACCTCCCCCACACTCACATCTTGCTCTTCTTCACTCCTAAAAGATGTTATACCTCCCTGGCCAGTGCATGAAATTACTGCCTCCCTTTCTTCATTGACATTTAAAAGTTCCTCGAAATATTCCAGCCATCTACCCAATACCTCCAGCTCCCCATCTACTACTCCCCTACTCTTTTTTTTTTTTTTTTAACTTGATAAATCCATTCATTCCCTAGGCTTTCTTAATTTGTTTATCTCACTCCAAAATTTTTTCTTATTCTCAGCAAAATTTCTTGACAGTGCCTCTCCCACTCTTTTGCTCTCTTTTTCCACTCTCTTCACCCTTCTTTTACTCTCCATATACTCTGCCCTTCTTATATCACTTCTGCTTTGTAAAAATCTCATAAGCTACCTTTTTCACTTATCTGCACCCTCTACCTCATCATTCCACCAATCACTCCTCTTTCCTCCTGTACCCACCCTCTTATAGCCACGAACTTCTGCCCCACATTCTAATACTGCATTTTTAAAACTATCCCATCTCTCTTCAACCCCTTCTCTCTCACTACCCAACCTTTCTGCCAAAAGTTGCTTATATGTCATCCTAATTTCCTCCTCCCATAGTTTATATACTTTCACCTCTCTCTTACTGTTGCCATTTTCCTTTTGTCCCATCTACCTCTTACTCTAACTGTAGCTACAACTAGATAATGATCCAATATATCCATCGCCCCTTTATAAACATGTACATCCTGAGGCCTACCCATCAACCTTTTATTCACCAATACATAATTTAACAAATTACTTTCATTACATGCTATATCATATCTTGTATACTGATTTATCCTTTTTTTCATAAAGTAAGTATTGCCTATTACCAAACCTCTTTCTACGCACAGGTCAATTAAATGCTTCCCATTTTCATTTACCTCTGGTACCCCAAATTTACTTACTACTCCCTCTACATTTTTACCCACAAGTACTCTCTCACTTGGTTGAAAACTCCCCACACACTCAACATTTCCCAAAAATCTCTCTCCTCTACACTTCTTTCTTGAGGTGCATAAACACTTACTATAACCCACTTTTCACATCCCTTATTTTACTCCAAATAATTCTTGAATTTTTACATTTATATTCCTCTTTTTCCTGCCATAACTTATCCTTCAACATTATTGCTACTCCTTCCTTAGCTCTAACTCTATTAGACCCCTGACCTAATCCCATTTATTTCTCCCCACTGAAACTCTCCTACCCCCTTCAGCTTTGTTTCACTTAGAGCCAGGGCATCCAGTTTTTTTTTCATTCATAACATCCACAATCATCTCGTTCTTATCATTCACACTACAACCCCCTACATTCAAACATCCCACTTTGACTGTTTTCTTCTTTTTCTTTTTAGTATGCCATACGGGAAAAGGGTTACTAGCCCATTGCTACCGGCATTTTAGTTGACTTTTACAACACACATGGCTTATGGAGGAAAGATTCTTATTCCACTTCCCCATGGATAAAAAAAATATGAGAAAAAAAGGTATATCGGCAACACTTCTGCCAACGGCAGGACTCTTAAGTTGTGTATTGTTCCAGTCACGGTATTGTGCATTTTTTTTTTATTTACTCCCATCTGTGTGGCCTGAAACTATAACCAATGCCCCATGTCTTATGGCAGAGGTTAAACAAAAACTTGAGATAAAATATACCCTTCATCTTATGGCTGAGTGAGACTTATGGCCAGTAATATATGGTATTTCAAATACTGTATTTTTGTTACCAGTTTCAGTACATTTGTATGGTAATTGTATCATTTTAATTTTTTTACTTTTTTATTTGTACTTTATTTGAGTAGTACTCTAGTCATCCTGCTTCCCTTACCTGACATCTCATAAGCATGTCAAAGAAATTGTCATCTGGAAGAGGTGTAGTATCACTGGCTGCAACAGACAATCGCTGAAGAATGGCATGCTGGTTATTTAGACCTGGCAACTGAGGTAATGATGCTCTCTGTTCATCCATTCGCCTGCTCTGCATTCCTGCAATACTCTCCATCAGCTCCTCCAAAACTCCACAATTATCTGGGAAAAATTGGCGTAGTTAAACACCAGGTAAACTCCGGTTATCTTTTAACAAAAGAATCTGGCTTGACTTTTTAAAATTCAAAGTCTTGAATTTTACACACAACATACAGTCATGTGCAAATTAATTGGGACAGGACTAAATTTTTTTTTTTTTTTATTAACACAGGCCAATTCCCACCAAGGCAGGGTGGCCCGATAAAGAAAAACTTTCATCATCATTCATTCTATCAGTCTTGCCAGAGGGGTGCTTTACACTACAGTTTATAAAACTGCAACATTAACACCCCTCCTTCAAAGTGCAGACACTGTACTTCCCATCTCCAGGATTCAAGTCCGGCCTGCCGGTTTCCCTGAATCCCTTCATAAATGTTCTGTATAGCCCTTGTGGCTTAGCGCTTCTTTTTGATTATAATAATAATTCATAAATGTTACTTTGCTGACACTCCAACAGCACATCAAGTACGTATTAAAAATCATTTGTCTCCATTCACTCCCAGCAAGCATGCATGAGCATATTTGATAGAAGTCCAAGCCCCTCCCACACAAAACCTCCTTTATCCCCTCCCTCCAACCTTTCCTAGGCCGACCCCTATCCCGCCTTCCCTCCACTTCAGATACATTCTTAAAATCATTCTGTTTTGTTCCATTCTCTCTACATGTCCAAACCACCTCAACAATCCTTCCTCGGCCCTCTGGACAACAGTTTTGGCAATCCCGCACCTCCTAACTTCCAAACTACAAATTCTCTGCATTATATTCACACCACACATTGCCCTCAGACATGACATCTCCACTGCCTCCAGCCTTCTCCTCGCTGGAATGTAAATTTTTTTATTATTTCGTAATGTCTTAGTCTCCAGCTTAATTAATGTAGTTTGGGCTCTTTTCTTTTCAGGAGAATTTGCTACCAACTTCTGGCAACCATCCAGCTGTGGTGTTACCCTGTGACTCTCGTCAGTGCTACACCACATAAGTATTGTAGTTCTTAGAAAACATGCTAATTTGAGTATCAGACAGATTGTCATAAATTTGTGCCTAGCAAAGTCAGCTGTTGGTTGGATTCTGAGGAGAACTGATGACACTAGTGACTGTGGAGTGCTGCATCAAGGAAGATGAGCAAGAAAATGCAAGACAACACCTCACAATGAGAAGGTTATCATAAGAAACAGGGTGAAGGAGCCCCCCAAAAAAACAGCAGATCTACAGAGATATTTGGTTTCAGCTGGCGTAAATGTTGATTCTTCAACTGTTCGATGGAGGCTGCTGTATAGCCTTTGTGGCTTAGCGCTTCTTTTTGATTATAATAATAATCGATGGAGGCTCCTTGAAGTTGGCAGAACTGCCAGAATGCTGGTAAAGAAACAATTATTAACTACTGCTATCAAGAAAAAATGGCTGAAGTGAGCATTCCATCATACAATCATAAGGGATGGACGATAGATGAACTGAGAAAAGTTATATTTTTAGATGAGGTGCATTTTGAAGTACAGTGGTACCTCGAGTTACGAACTTAATACGTTCCAGAAGACTGAGTGCCAATACCGAATGAATTTGTTCCCATATGGAATAATGTAAATTAGATTAGTCTGTTTCAGACCCCCAAAAATACACTTACAAAAGCACATACAAAAATACACTTACATAAGGCTAAAGAGGTTTTTGTGGCATTTATGGATTTGGAAAAGGCGTACGACAGGGTGGATGGGGGGCAATGTGGCAGATGTTGCAGATGTATGGTATAGGAGGTAGGTTACTGAAAGCAGTGAAGAGTTTTTACAAGGATAGTGAGGCTCAAGTTATAGTATGTAGGAAAGAGGGAGATTATTTCCCAGTAAAAATAGGCCTTAGACAAGGATGTGTGATGTAACCGTGGTTGTTCAATATATAGATGGGGTTGTAAGAGAAGTAAATGTGAGGGTCTTGGCAAGAGGTGTGGAGTTAAAAGATAAGGAATCACACATAAAGTGGGAGTTGTCACAGTTGATCTTTGCTGATGACGCTGTGCTCTTGGGCGATTCTGAAAAGAGGTTGCAGAGGTTGGTGGATGAATTTGGTAGGGTATGTAAAAGAAAATTGAAAGTGAATACAGGAAAGAGTAAGGTTATGAGGATAACAAAAAGATTAGGTGATGAAAGATTGGATATCAGATTGGAGGGAGAGAGTATGGAGGAGGTGAATGTATTCAGATATTTGGGAGTGGACATGTCAGCAGATGGGTCTATGAAAGATGAGGTGAATCATAGAATTGATGAGGAGAAAAGGGTGAGCAGTGCACTTAGGAGTCTGTGGAGACAAGGAACTTTGTCCTTGGAAGCAAAGAGGGAAATGTATGAGAGTATAGTTTTACCAACACTCCTGTAAGGGTGTGAAGCATGGGTGATGAATGTTGCAGCGAGGAGAAGGCTGGAGGCAGTGGAGATGTCATGTCTGAGGGCAATGTGTGGTGTGAATATAATGCAGAGAATTCATAGTTTGGAAGTTAGGAGGAGGTGCGGGATTGCCAAAACTGTTGTCCAGAGGGCTGAGGAAGGGTTGCTGAGGTGGTTCAGATATGTAGAGAGAATGGAGCGAAACAGAATGACTTCAAGAGTGTATCAGTCTGTAGTGGAAGGAAGGCGGGGTAGGGGTCGGCCTAGGAAAGGTTGGAGGGAGGGGGTAAAGGAGGTTTTGTGTGCGAGGGGCTTGGACTTCCAGCGGGCATGTGTGAGTGTGTTTGATAGGAGTGAATGAAGGCAAATGGTTTTTAATACTTGACATGCTGTTGGAGTGTGAGCAAAGTAACATTTATGAAGGGATTCAGAGAAACCGGCAGGCCGGACTTGAGTCCTGGAGATGGGAAGTACAGTGCCTGCACTCTGAAGGAGGGGTGTTAATGTTGCAGTTTAAAAACTGTAGTGTAAAGCACCCTTCTGGCAAGACAGTGATGGAGAGAATGATGGTGAAAGTTTTTCGGGCCACCCTGCCTTGGTGGGAATCGGCCAGTGTGTTAATAAAAAATAAAATATAAAAAATAATTGTTCGAGATGGGAGCTGTTCGAAACTCAAGGTACCATTGTAGTACATGGGTACAGATCAGTGGTAGTGAGATACAGCAAAAGTGAACCTCTTCGGAATGGACACATTCAAGAAGTGCCAAAACACCCACCTAAGATGTTTTGGGGTAGTTGTACTGCTAAAGGCCCTGGACAGCTTGTTTTGTTGATAGAACGATGAACAGTGACAAATACAAGGCAATCCTCACAATACATTTGCTTCCCATTGTGGATCAAGACTTTCCTGATGGAGAAAGCATTTTCCAGCAGGATCTTTCTCCATGCCACACTTTCAGAAAAATGCTGACATTTTTCGAAGAGTGGGCTAAGTGTTCTAAATTGGACTGGAAATTCTACGGGCAATAACCAAATGCAGAATCATGAAACAGGACTGTTCAACTGTGGAGAAGCTAATTGCTGTTGTTATTAGGACCGTGGTACCACAACGAAGAACTTGCCAAAGTGTGTAGCAATGCTTATAAAAGCAAAGGGTAGTCATATCATTGCCGTGTATTTTTTAAATAAACATTAATTTTCCGAATAAATGTCTTTTTTCATCACTGTCCCAATTAATATGCATACTGCTGTAGACACAAGAAAAATCTGTTTTTCAAGGGCAAAATTACCCAGCCCCCAATTTGTATTACAATTTTTAACATATAGCTATCTATGCTATACCTGGTACCTAATGCTGGTACCTAAAACTACAGCCCTCTCATACCTCATACCATGCTATAAGGCTTACCATGCTTTATTTTGGGTGCTTGAGATGGAAGTTCCATTCCTGAAGGAAGCATTGATTAAGCAAAATAAAGTTAATTTTATTATATAAATGGAAGCATTTTAAGGTTAGGTGTAAAAGTGACTATTGTAACTGCATATTTGCTATTTAATTACAAAAAATGAAAGGGATATAATCTGAAATTCACTGGACAGTGTAATAAGTGAGATACAGAAGTGGTATGGAGTGGCTGTGATGGGTAATCCAAATGCTTATTGAGAATGGGACTGCAGGAATCATAGACACTTGGGGATCATTAGGAGGGAGACAGGGGGATATTACATCTAAGAATCCCACTACCCCCATCCCCACCACCCCTTGAGGAATACCAGATTAAGATCAGAGCCAATGTCTACAAGGCTGAGTAGATTTCAAGTACCAAACCCTCAGTACATACAGTAGGTCCACAACTTACAATGTTCCGACTTATGATATTGACTCTTTGGAACCAATTAATAACTTCCAATGGTGTTCTGCAGTTAGGAATATTGCAAATATTTAAACACATCATAGTCTCTCCTCACTTAGTGACGTACTCGTTTACCGACCACTCAGACTTACGATCAGCTCTCCAGTATGCAAACCTAAATAATGTATATTAGAGCTGATTTCCTCTATTCTGTTTATTACAGTATACAGTACACTACTGTATAAATACTTAAAAATATACCAGAAATGTTATAAATGGTGCAAAGGTGACATTAAAAAGATATCTAAACATGATTGACACAAACCCACTATCAATACAGTATGCTCCTTGCTTAATGGCCAATTCATTTACCAACCTACTCTTGGGAATGGAACCCCACTGTTAAGTGAGGAGAGGCTGTATTTCCAACTTTTTTTTTTTACAAATGTATTCATATTTCCTAGGTAGTAGGTTGGTAGACAGCAACCACCCAGGGAGGTACTACCGTCCTGCCAAGTGAGTGTAAAACGAAAGCCTGTAATTGTTTTACATGATAGTAGGATTGCTGGTGTCCTTTTTTTCTGTCTCATGAACATGCAAGATTTCAGGTACATCTTGCTACTTCTACTTACACTTAGGTCACACTACACATACATGTACAAGCATATATATACACACCCCTCTGAGTTTTCTTCTATTTTCTTTCTAGTTCTTATTCTTGTTTATTTCCTATTTTCACCATGAGGAAGTGGAACAGAATTCTTCCTCCGTAAGCCATGCGTGTTGGAAGAGGCGACTAAAATGCCAGGAGCAAGGGGCTAGTAACCCCTTCCCCTGTATACATTACTAAAGTTAATTATTATTATTATAATAAAAAAGAAGCGCTAAGCCACAAGGGCTATACAGCTACTAAAGTTAAAAAGAGAAACTTTTGCTTTCCTTTTTGGGCCACCCTGCCTCGGTGGGATACGGCCGGTTTGTTGAAAAAAAAAAAAAGTATTCATATTTTATATATGTTCATTTTATGCATGTATAGATGCTCACATTATAAGTATATTTTTATCTTTTTTTTTCCCCAAGTCATTGGCATTTTGTATACTGAATATTCTTTTAATGCACATATGAAAATTTTCCCCAAGTCATTGGCATTTTGTATACTGAATATTCTTTTAATGCATATATGAAAAGTTAAGTTTTTTGTTTCTGTTATTTTGCAGAGACGACTGAGGGCTGTAGCATAAACAAGGGGTGGAACAAGAATAAGGGAAAACATCAGGGTTGGGACCAAAATAAGTAGATACATGCAAGGTAGGAACCAGGATGCACAGATACACAAAGGGTGGGACCAGAGGTGTAGTCACGTTCTGACAATAGGGGAACTGAGCATATTTAAAAAAAAAGGCACCACTTATTATCTTAAATACAGCTTATTTTATGGTACTAAATATTATTTTATGGTACAGATAATACCATAAGATTTGTTTATCAAAATTCATAATTTTTTAAACAATGACAACTAACTGCTAGCAATTGTCATTATAGTGGTAAAGTTAAAACAGTACATTTCAGGCATAAATTGGTCAAATACTTTTATGGCAATCATAAACAGCTGATTGCCTTACAAGGCAATTTTAGGCTATGCAAATATCCACTTAAATTAGCTCAGAAATGTGCAATTTTCTTAAAGATATTATCTGCACATTCTGGGTGGGACCAGGATTAGGGACACACAAGAGCTGGGACCAACACAAATGGAAACTTCCTCAATCTGAGGTTGGTGAGCAAGTGCATTGTACAAGAGGCAGGTTCCAAATATGAAATGAAATGTAAATACGCATGAGACTTATGGCCCTCGCAGATTCACCATGCCAGCTGAATAATGGTTAAGAGTTGAAGGTCCATGAGCAAAGGCTCACAGATACAGACAAATATACATACTCTCAATGATCTAAGTTATTTTTTCATTTTGTTTATCTTTTTATTTGCATTCTTTATACATATTTTCTCTCTCACAGAATGCATTACATTTAATTAAAAATTTTGCTATTTAATTCACAACATTTAGCAAGACATTCTTCATATTTCATGCATTTCACTAGACACTTTTACACCATAAGTATTGCACGTTTCACATTTCTTCACGAACATGGCTTGTACAGTACCACTGTCATTAGCAGTTATATGTAGGATGCAAATTTTATGGCCGGTAACTCCCAAATTATCACAGATTCATTAGCACAAACTCAGCTTTATTTAAGGTAGCAATCAGACTATGTGACCCTTAACAGTTTGGTGCTTCCCATAAACATACTAATAATAAGACAGCTATCCCTAATTTTTTCATGCTTAACCTCCTCAGGTCTACAGCTAAGTCAATCGTTACCTCCTAGTGTGAAGCTTGAAAAGTAATACTGTGCTTAAATTCTCCAATGCCTAAATAAAACATATAAGCTGATTGGCAAACCAGTTAAAACAGTATAAAAAGGAAGTCAGGCCTCCATACAGTGGAACCTCAGTTCTAGTTTGCCCTCGTTTTCATCGAATTCGGTTTTTGACGACTTTTTCATCAAAATTTTGTCCCAGTTTTCGTTCATCACCTCGGTTTTCGTCGAGTTGACAGTGGTCTGCCATACTGAACGTGTCTGCCCACGCCCACACAAAGCATTCCACACGTTCTGAGTCAGTCTGGCTTTGTTTCTCATTTGTAGAGGGTGGTAGTGATGGTGGTAGTGGTTGTGATGGTGGGAGAGGGTGGTTGTGATGATAGTAGAAGGGTGGTTGTGATGGTGGTAGAGGGTGGTTGTGATGGTGGTAGAGGGTGGTAGTGATGTTAGAGAGTGGTAGAGATAACTTCTCCTGCCTCTCCCCTCCTCGCCGTCTTCATATGCCAACAAGAGTCTTCAATAAAGGTAAAAGTTATGTTAAATGTTCATTTATCCATTTCACTAGTGCTTTATATTTATTTCTCACTGTTTTCTGTATGTAAAACTATAGTTATTCTCTATAAAATGTATTTTTTGTTAATACGTTTGGGTGTCTGGAACGGATTAATTGAATTTACATTATTTATGTGAAATATTGCTTCAGTTTTCATCAAATTCAGTTTTCGTCAGACTTTTTGGAATGAATTAATGACAAAAACCAAGGTTCCACTGTATTTACCTTCCTGAGGACTCTGCAATTATAGAGAAATCTGTGAAAGTACCTTTGAACATTGAAGCAAGATGTAGTGGAGTGTACGTGGCAATTAATGCATAGGAGCATCATCACTAGTAAAACCCTGATGACTGCTGCTCTCACAGGTGTGTTGATATTAGCAAACACTGCACTGAATTTCTCCCTCTTATATCATCAAACATGGTTGTAGATTTTTCTTTTTTTAACAAGTCAGCCGTCTCCCACCGAGGCAGGGTGGCCCAAAATGAAAGAAAATCCCCAAAAAGAAAATACTTTCATCATCATTCAACACTTTCACCTTACTCACACATAATCATTGTTTTTGCAGAGGTGCTCAGAATACAACAGTTTAGAAGCATATACGTATAAAGATACACAACATATCCCTCCAAACTGCCAATATCCCAAACCCTCCTTTAAAGTGCAGGCATTGTACTTCTCATTTCCAGGACTCAAGTCTGGCTATATAAAAGTAACAGGTTTCCCTGAATCCCTTCACTAAATATTACCCTGCTCACACTCCAACAGCTCGTCAGGTCCCAAATACCAGTCGTCTCCATTCACTCCTATCACTCTCATGCACGCTTGCTGGAAGTCCAAGCCTCTCACCCACAAAACCTCCTTTACCCCCTCCCTCCAACCTTTCTGAGGACGACCCCTACCCCGCCTTCCTTCCCCTACAGATTTATACGCTCTCCATGTCATTCTACTTTGATCCATTCTCTCTAAATGACCAAACCACCTCAACAACCCCTCTTCAGCCCTCTGACTAATACTTTTATTAACTCCACACCTCCTAATTTCCACACTCCGAATATGGTTGTAGATATGAGGCCAAAAACATTTTGCATTTCAAAGACTATAGCTTTTTAAAATATTGCTTTAAGCTGCTTAATATTAACATTCAAAATAAAGACTGACCACATTTTGAATTAATTTTATGATTAGTATTTAATTTAAGAGTTGTGTGCCAACCTATAATAAAAAAAATTATGGCAGATTTGTATGCAAAAAATATGAGCATACAACACATGAACCAAAATAGCATATACCTACAAAAATTAAGTATTTGAAAACATCACTTTGCACACACAGCCCACAAGATGAAAATAACTGTATTTGTTTTATACTGCTTTAAATTCTTTCAATTTTATTTTCTTAAAGTGGGTGAATCAAAGAAAATAGCTGTAGTGCGAGAGAAAAAATTAAGAACATTTTCAAAAAAATTCCACTGCTGGTTTGGTTTTTCAAATTCTTTTTTTCAATACCTCTTTAAATGTGACTCTAATCTAGTTACACCCAGCAATCTCCCACTGAGATAGGGTAATCCAGAAAAGGAAACACATTCAATGTCATGCATTCAAAACTACTTCAGAATGCAGGCACTGTAATTCTCACCTCCCTGAATCCCTTCGTAATGGCTTGATAAAGCT